TGGACCATATGATCACTAGCCTCCACGACTCTGAAACCAGAAAAACTTGGTAGTGCCAGGCTACTATTGCTGACCCATGGAAAATGAATCACAATAGGAGTTCCTGCATGGAGTGGGGAAAATTGTGAAACAAAGCTTAAAATCACAAAAAAAGACCAGGCTTACTAGTCTGATGAAGACCCATGAAACCCATGAGATTATGGCCCTTAGACAACTTTCAGGCTAGAAACTGAACTTTCAGCCAAATGGATGGGCCTATAAGGTGAACAGTGATACCAGTAAGGTATGCACTCATTAGGACAATCAAACATCTGAGACCAAGAGAATAGCATTTGCCCAGGGATAGAGTTAGGAAGGCGGAGGGGATGGAAAGGAAGAATGAAGGGAAGTGGTGGGTGTGGGGAGGAAGTGGAAGAGTGCCATTGTATTGTGGGGAGTACAGTGAATGTCACAAAACAGAATGTGTATGGAATGTTGAAAGGAAAACCAATTTGCATTATAAACCTTCACCCAAATCATAAAAAATTGGAAAAAAAAAAAGAAGAAGAAAAGAAGAAGCCTGCCCTCCCATTCATGTTGGAATTGATTTTTTGCACTTCCCTTGTCTATTAAGAGATGTAAACATTTTCCACCCTCCAGTAAAGACCCTTGAACGTTAAAAAAAAAAAAAAGCAAGGCTTTACATTTGTAATTGAACATATGCCTTTTCAGATTTCTGATTTAGAATTAGTCTGCATAAATTATTTTTAACAATAGTTCTCTATGAAGTTAAAATCAAATATCTCTTGTTAGAAGAATTTTCTCTGTAATCCTTATCATAGATTATAGATTATTTCTTATTGCAGAAATCATTTGCAACCACTAAATATTTAAACTTAAATCACTTCTATATAAATATTTTCTTTTAAATATTTGACAGTCGTCCAACTTTACAAATGGTTTGGTATAATTAATACAAATTTTAGGGAAACCACAAGAGTATTTTTTGACTATGGATTTTAATATTGTAGTACAGAGGTCGTCTTGTTTGTGTTTATTGTTGCCTACATGAACATTTTCTTTAAAATCTAAGAAACTTTATAACAATATGTTTTAATTACTGGGAAAAAAATCTTATAAAAGGAAAAATGATATTTTTGGAAAGTATACATATATATGTATTTTCCATGTGGATGAAGTAAAATAAGATTAAATTGAAAACTTTTAAATTATATTTTAAAGTTTCTTAATTATTATTTTAATTACTGCTCAAACAGTTGCTACATATACTCCAGGACCTCCTATCAGCTAACTGGGTAGTATTAAATTATTTTAAGATATTGACCAATAACACTTTGAGCAAATGAAGTTATTAAAATATTGCTTATCTCAATATTTATTGTAAAAACCTCTATAGAAACTTAAGATATTTTCTGAAATTATTTTTCAGAAAGTGAAACCTATAGTATTATATATTTCCATTAGCAATATTAACTTGCCCTTTTCAGAATCCAAGTAGACTCACCATCATATTGGAAAATGGAATACACTAGTTTCAATTTTAGAACTTGGTAATAAGCATTTTGTATGTTGAACCATTTTAATTATTTTTCAATTAATAATAAATAACTTAAATCTGAAAATTCCTTTTGGAAGAAGACAATGTAAAAGTCTAAATAGTGGAAACAGTTTTATAGATTAAATAACATTTATTTTTTTTAGGTTAAAAAACTTTATCGATGTCAACTGTATCAATGTACATTAGAACATATACACAAAGTATTCAGAATCCGCTCAGCTGACTGGACAGCTAATTAATGGAAAGTTACAATTGGGATTATTATTGTAAATAAGGAAATTTCCAAATTAGAGTAAAGGTGAGTTGTATCATGATAATTTTTACCTATATCAGTCTTTTCCTTAAAAAAAAAATAAATGAAAGAAGACACTTTCTACAGCACACAATTCTTCACCTCAAAAAGAAACTTTTATATTTCCAGGTATATACATTAAGCAGAAGAGCAACATAATTGTCAAGTTGCTAATGAGCCTAGTCTATAAGAATATCTGAGAAAATAAATGATGTCACTTGATTTTTTTTCACTCCATTCAAAATTATGATTACAGAAATATAGGATTTTATTTTAAAATGATGCCATAAACACAATTTGAACAACCAAAGATAGTCAAAGATTTGATTTCACTGAATTGTGTCTAAGGAAAAATATGAAGTATTCTTTAAAGTCCTTCCATATTTGTTGAAAATGAAAATATATAATGCATGGTGATATATTCTTTGAATACTTGTGTGAAATCTGGGCACACAATTTCAGAAAAATTTTGAAATAAATTTCTCCCTATATTTGAAATATAAACTTTTTTCCTGCACAAAATAAGGAATTTTAAATAATAGAAAGAGAACATTTGAAAAGTGGAAAGGAAATTCCTGGGCTTTACGTATGAGAATTTTCTATTTTTCATTGTTATCCGTGGTTTCTTCTCTAAATCTATTGGCAGTTTCTCACGATGATTATTTATGCCCTGTTTCTATATCCACTTATTCTATAATCGTGTTTGTTTGTTTCCTGGTGAATGAAAAACACAGAAGTGGAAAACAGTTGAGTATTAAATGTGTGTTAGTTTTGAAGGACAGAAAATGAATTATTAAAAAAGAAAAATGCTTGAGGCGAAAAATTATGTTTTAAATTCTTCCCCACCCCCAAAAAAATAAAGTCTTTACCTTCTATCATTTGCTTGAATGTAAAATGAAATTTGTTTCTACTATCTTTTATATTTGCTATGGTCCCTGATAGCAAAATCATTTTGTACTCAGCTAATATCCTAAAAGGAGCTCTGGTGGCATAGTGCCTAAGGCACTTGACTGCTAACCAGAAGGCTGGCTGTTCAAACCCACCAGCCACTCCTTGGAAGGAAGGTTGGGCAATCTACTTTAGTGGAGATACCTCCTCAAAAACCCAAGGAGGGGTCGCTATGAGTTAGGTCTGACTCAACAGCACATAACAACAACAACATTATCCTAAAAATTGGTAACTAGTACCCAACCAGTGGTGGCACAGAAGAAAGGCCTGGTGATCTGCTTCCATAAAGACTATAACCCCATGGATCTCAGTTTGACTATGCAATGCCTGAGATAACCCAGAGTCAGAATCAAATAGATGGCCACAAGTAAACATATTACAAATATATTCAATCTCTATAGATATCTGAGTGCTTAATTCCCTCCCCCCACCCATGTAACTGAAAAAATTAAAACATGAAAATTCAGCTTCTTTAACTCAATATTAAAAGATGATGAGTCTGGTTATCTCCAATATCAAATGTAACTGAAACTTTTTTAAAAATATATGGACAAGAACAAAATTAAACTGTTAAATAAAGGTGTTTTGATCTTACGTCAAATGTTAGTCTATGGAGAAGTAGTCTGTTTTCTTCTTCTTAATTTTACTTACGTGTGGAAACTGAGCTTAAATATTCCTAAATACTTTAATATATCAAATATTTACAAAATTACCCAAATCATTCTTGAATATATTTACAAAGCTTTGACAGTTCTAGTGGAATAATAATTGGTTCATTTAAATTTACTAAGCATCCACAATGTGTCAGCAACCATGCTAGGCTCAATATGTACTCCAGAATTTTAATTTACACGCTCTGTGGAAAGAATTCTTTTCATTTCCCTTCAACTATATACTTTCATCTCAAAACATGCATAGCTTTGCCAATGGGATCATCAGTACATTTTTGTTCTTTTTAATATCTTATAGCTTTATGTGAAGGTGAGGTTAGCTGAGGATAATATCGCACCACTACTATCTTCCACTGAAGTAAATTGAAAGTAATTTTTTTTTCCTAATAAAAGGTTGTTGTCAAAAACCAGTTTGTTCACTGCTAAGAATAAAATTTCCTAGTAGTGCTGCGTGATTTTAAGTTTCCTTACTTTTCGATTCACTGAACAAGTCAGTGATCAAATGTTCATGTAATAATTTCTTAATTAATTCACTAAACATTTTTTAAGTACTTATTCTAGATTGAGTATGAATTTGATAATAGAAATATATAAACATGCTTGACTAAGTGATGAATTGTATCCATATTTCTTTATTTCAAAATGCTTTTCATTCTTTTACCAACTCCAGTCATATGATAGAGCAGTGGTTTTCACTCTAGCTGCTCATTAAAACCCCCTGCGAAATTTTAAAAATCCACATGCTTAGGCTGAATTCTGGAGCAGTTAAGTCAGCATTAAATAAAAGACACTAGGTGATTACTGCAGTGATCTAGAGCTGTTGCACTGTCTGATACAGTGGCTACTAGCTACATTGTGCTAAATACATTTAAACTAATTTTTTAACATTAAATGGATTTTACATTTCTTTTCTAAGTCACATTAGCCAGTTACTCAATACCTACATGTGTCTAGTAGGTCTTAAAGATATCAAATTGTATGTCATTTACTTATTTATAGACTCATTCACTCAACCTACATTGTTAATCAAGCACCCACTATTTACCATGTGTTGTCCTACTATGAAAGGAGCTCTTGTGCACTGTGATGATAGCATTGGGCTGCTAACAAAATTTGAACTCATAAGCTGCTCCACCTTTGGAAGCATATGGGACAATTCTACCCTGTGCTATATAGTCACTATAAGTCAGATTTGACTCAATGGCAGTGATTTTTGGTTTTGATCTTACTATGAGCTTGGTAAACTGAGAAGAGCAAAGTAAGTATGGTCAGAATTCCTTATGGTATGAGATATAAATTAAGGACAATAGTGAAATATAGATAGAAGATAAAAATAGGTAGATATAAGGACACAAATACATAAATAAAATTATTCTAAGTGCTATGAAAGAATAAGTATAGAGAACAGTTGGAAAGGAAAAGCCTACCTGATAGATAACATTATTAGGAAAAGACTCATAAAGGAGATAACATTAAATCTAAGATCTAAAGGATAAAAAGGAGCCACGGGATAGTCATGAACATTACTTACTCATAAGTAGGTTTCATCTGTGACCATCCATATAGATTGTGAACATTATAATGCAAAACTGATGAACCATCACTAAGAATATGCTCAGTTTCCATACACATAGTTCTGAAATGTAACCCATCAGTTCTTTTTGTGAGTTCTGGGGAGTTAATAAAAAAAAACCATATTGATACATCATAAAGTCCTTTGCATTGGCATGTGTAGTTCATAACACTATATTGCTTTAACAAAGACAGTAACAGTTATTTTAAAATAATTCTTAATTTTTTTACCTTCTGTACATTTCGTCTGTGATTATTATAAATAAAAAAAACTAGTCTGCCATTGCCCTTAGTGAAAAATATTAGAAAAAATAACTATATTCAGTTACAAACATGTTACTAACAAACAAAAATAAATTTAAAAATTTGAAAACTTTATAATATTCAGATGCCTTTTTTGAAAAACTTTGCCATCACCTTAGATATGAATGCAGTCCATGAAGTTTGCTGTCTACATAGTACCTGGGAGAGTGAGCATGAGTGCTGAAGGATGCACCCTTTTGCTTCTTTACTGGTGACTAGCAGAGAAGTATTGTCACTGTTCTTTCACTTTATTTTAGTTTGAAGAACCAAAACTTAAAAAGTTTTAATTTTTGTTTTTTTTAATCTTAAAGAGTATTTAGAATTTCAGATCTGGGAAGATTTTTTAAAAAGCCAGTTACACTTTTCAAACACATTTAAAAATTTATATAGCTATAAAGTGTTTGACAGTTTTTCTCAAAGCAGGGTTAAAAAGTATTGATAATGAGTGTAGGGTAAGTTTGTGAGTTAGTAATAAAAGTTAGGAATGTGAAGACTATCCCCTATTCCTTAGATATATATAACCTAATGAAGATATAATAATAATAAAACAGTAAAAAGGCATAGCAATAACCTGGGAAATACGGTGGGAAGTTTAGCTCTTTATTTCTGCACTGATTAGTAGTGGTTCCATTGACAAAACTTGATGGTTCATTCATATCCTTTAAAAGAGAAAAAGAAAATATAAGCATAAAACAAGGTCAGAACATATATCATGGGGAAAAAAAAAAAACTAAGAGAACCAGTAAATTAAAGCAGTATATTCAGACAGTACATTTACTCACTATTTTAAAAGCCAAAAATGTGAAGAATCTCATTTATTACTAAAGAATTTAGTTGAGTGTTCTTTAACTTCTTTATAATCCACATTTCCTTTTGTGAAACATAAAATGTCCTGCTTTTCTCTGTAGTGTGAATTTTACATATAAAAGTGAGTTGTTTTCATGTTTGCCAAACATAAAAATGAAGTTACAATGGTATAAGGTTTATATTCTTTGTTAGATTGGTTACAGAATTTATGTACTTTTTGATCATCGTAATCTTTTTCTCTAAATATTAATTTTTTTCCTATCCAACAATGAAAAAAACTTAAAGAAAATAATTATATCTGAGAAAATATTGCACCATTTCTTATACTACCGCCACACCACCACCCTCCTTCCCCTCGACTCTTTCCCTGAGACTGGTATCAATTATTTGTGTTAAAAAGAAAAATGTGTTTCTTTTTATTAAAACCACAAGCTACAATTTACAAATATAGAACATTTCAAAGAAAATTCTAATGAGCACACCTCAGGATTTCTATGGCCATACATGAAGGGATCAGTATTTAAATATGTATTAGCTACCATTAAAAGTAAATGCTTCTGAATGGAAATATGTTCAATTCTCTGGGTCCAGATATCATTCTCAGAGGCGACTCAACAGCAGTGAGTTTGGATTGGTTTTGGTTTAAAGTACATAACCTTGTACATCAAACAGATCTATATATACCAATAATTTAAAAATCTGTGTATTACTCAACTTTATATCTTCAAGGCTTGTACATAGGAGACTTCAGTGGGACTTCTTCAATTAAAAAACACATGTATGTTGTGGTTAAACTCAAACTCACTGCCATGGAGTCGGGTCCAACTCATAGAAACCCCTATTTGGGTTTCTGAGGAGGTATCTTTACGGAAGTAGATTGCTCAGTCTTCCTTCCAAAGAGTGGCTAGTGGGTTTGAGCCACCAGCCTTCTAGTTAGCAGTCAAGTGACTTAGGCACTACACCACCAGAGCTCCCACCCATGTTGTTGTTAGCTGACCCTGACTCATGGCAACCCCATGTGTTACAGAGTAGAACTGCTCCATTAAGTTTATTGGCCTGTAATCTTTGAAAAGCAAACTGCAAGCCTGTACCCCTTACAGTTGCTGAATGAGTTCAGAGTGAACTTTTCTTTTAGCAGCCTGTCTAGAAGCATTTGCACCACTCAGGGTTCATGTTTAAACATCAACAAATTAAATAAACCACTTCTAATATCTAGAAATATTTTATATAAAATATTCTATATTAAATACTTCATTGTGAGAAATGTGGTTTTTTTATGACATTTTTAAATTATTTAATCAAGAATCTTACAGCCAATACTTTAAAGTTTCATAAGGAAGATGGAGATTGCTTGACATATTTCTTTGCTAAATTTGTAAGAGATTATGTTTTCTTACACAAAAGACTGAACATTGTGAGTTTTACCCGTATATTGAATGGAAATAAAATAAATGTTCATAGGCATTTATTAGTAGCTAGAAAAAGGTTTTTCAGTTCCTTGGTCAAGTTAGAAATGTCCAGGAAAAACATCTATATAGATTAATTGAATTGTTCCAACTCTATTTTTGCATGAGAAAGTAGTAGGAAAACAAAAGTATGAGCTAATTTTCCCAAAGAATAGTTTGGTGACATCATCATGGTTTACTAAGGGTTTTACATAATCACTACACAATAGCTGACTAAAAAGATATATTTGTTAGAGCTTACTTACAATCCACAAGCCATCAAACTTCATCTTGGTATTGTAGAAATCTGTAATTTCTGTTGCCCACCACTCCGCTGTGGAATTCCGGAAGAAATCTGGGAAAGCTACGTGAGCTCTGGAAGCCTGTGAAAGCAAAATTCAGTCCCACATGTCAAAAATAGTATGAGAGGTCATATGTATCTTTATTAGAAAATTATCTGGTCAGATTCCTAAATTAGTCACTAGTGATTATGAAGGCAGGGATTTATGTGATTTTTCTTCAGCCACCCAGTTTCTTTGGACAAGAGAAGACACAGACATAGATGGAGCAAGAATAGTGTAACCTGTGGACGATAACAAAAAAACAATTTCAAAGCACACAGGTGTTTTGCAGAGTAATAGAGAGGCTTTGTCTCTGTATTTCTGTATTGGCAGAATCCTACATTGCAGGCTTACTTACCTTTTGGGCTATTGGAGGCAGGGAAGAGGGGTAAGCTTGTAGTTTATAGCCTGCTTCTCTGATCAAAGTGTGTCTACTCAGCGAACTGAGAAAAAACCCTACCATCTCCACCGGAGCCCTACTTGTGCTCAGCTGCTAACTGCAAGGTTGGCAGTTCGAACCCACCAGATGTTCCATGGAAGAAAGATGAGGCAGCATGCTTCCATAAAGATTGACAACCTTGGATATCCAATGGGACAGTTCCACTCTGTACTTTTGGGTTGCTGCTATGAGTTGGCATCAACTCAATGGCATCAGATTTGGCTTTTTTGTTTTTATTGTCTTCATGAACTGTTTTCCTTTCTCACAACTAACCCCACCAACCAAGCAGAGAAAAGGTGTTTTAACACTTCTCTCCCTACGAAATAAATTCTCTTCTTGCCAATCTATGTATGGAAACTCCTTTGTATAAGATCATAAGAATAACCTTGTGCAACTGCTCAAATGGCAATGCCTAAACCTATGGCATCACCTAACAGCTTTCCCTTAGATTTTAAGACTATGCAGCCTATGACTTTTAGAACAGTCTTCTTTGTGAACAAGATATGATATGAATAAAGAAAAGAGAGAGAAGAGGGAAAATAGAGATTAACAAAATTTATGAATCATGAGTAGTTTTAGATTGGAAAGAGACTTAATTTTATCATCTTGCTGAATAATTATTCGTAAGGAAAGAAGGGCTGCTGGAGTTACACTGAACAATGATTTTCTATGCTACGATCTCCCTAAACCAAACCAAACTCACTGCCGTTGAGTTGATTCTGACTAATGGTGACCCCCATTGGGTTTCCAAGGTGGTAAACCTTTACAGAAGTAGATTGCCCCATTTTCCTTCTGCAAGTGGCTGGTGGGTTTGAACTGCTAACCTTCTGGTTAGCAGTCAAATGCCTTAGCCACTGTGCCACCAGTATCCTTAGGATCTCCCCTAGACAGAGAACTAATAACAAAGACAATACTAGACTTTGTTTAAGCTTTCACTTTTTTCTGTTCTTTCCAGGATTTCCATGTATTCATTTGTTTACTTTATTCTCTTAGGTGACAGTTTTTATCCCTTTAAGGAAATCGTTGGTTTTATCCAGAGAGTTTATCAGGTAATCTGATTGTAAATCCCTTGTACCTATGGTGAAGAGGATTCCAGAGGATTCTAAACAAGCCATAGCATATTGAGGCTGCTTGCAACATCTATTTGGAGAGACCATATATTCCCCTGCAGTTCCACTACCACTTCTCATGAGTAGTGTGTGGAACTCAAATCAAGATAAAACTCTGACTTTTTCCCAAACAATATGTTTCAGTATTCCTTTTACTATACTGTAAAAATTATTTGGTTATATTAACATAAGAATAATCTTCTAATTTTTCATTTATGAGACTCACATATTGAATTAATACACTGCATTAGCCATGTATCATATAGCAGATTATATAATCTCTCTGAACATACATTTCTTCTTTTATTTAATGATGATTATTTGATATAATTAAAATAAGTTTCTTGGATCAAATGGGATAAAAATATTAAATTGCTTAAGAGAATAACTGACAAAATTTGATGTTAAGGAAAAATTGGGTAAATTCGACCTAAATATTTTCTGATAAAGGGTACTGGAAAATAAGCCGCCTATTTTTTTAAGGAAAGTTTTAGTCAAATTGAATTATTAGTCAAAATGATTAAATCCAACTGTCAAATTTATTTCTGTTATATAGTTAATCAATGTAAAACTTACATTAACAGCTTCATCTTCAGTTAGACTTTCATCTATTGTAATATTAGGCAAGTCTGGCCAAACCTACAGGGAAGAAATGGGAAAAGAGATCAAATTAAATTTAGTATGACAGACCATGATCTGCTCATATGCAAATTCAACTTGAAGTTAAAGACAATTAATACAAGTCCATGAGAGCCAAAGTATGATCTTGAAAATATCCCTCCTGAATTTAGAGATCATCTAAAGAATAGATTTGATGCATTGAACACCAATGACCGAAAGCCAGATGAATTATGGGAAGATATCAAGAACATTATCCATAAAGAAAGCAAGAGATCACTAAAAAGACAACAAAAGAAGAGAAGACCAAAGTGGATGACAGAAGAGACTCTGAACCTTGCCCTTGAGTGGAGAATCGCTAAAGCAAATGGAAGAAATGAAAAGGTAAAAGAGCTGAACAGAAGATTTCAAAGAGCAGCTCGAGTAGACAAAGCCAATTACTATAATGAAATGTGCAAAGACCTGGAGTCTGAAAACCAAAAAGGAAGAACACGCTCAGCATTTCTCAAACTGAAAGAACTGAAGAAAAAAGTTAAGCCTCGAGTTGCAATCTTGAGAGATTCTATGGGCAAAATATTGAATGATGCAGGAAACATCAAGAGAAGATGGCAGGAATACACAGAGTCACTGTACCAAAAAGAACTGATCGATCTTCATCCATTTCAGGAAGTGGCATATGATCTAGAACCAATGGTAATGAAGGAAGAAGTCAAAGCTGCAATGAAAGAAGTGGCGAAGAACAAAGCTCCGGGAATTGATGGCATACCGATTGAGATATTTCAACCAACGGATGCCCCATTGGAGGCACTCACTCAGTTATGCCAGGAGATTTGGAAGACAGCTACCTGGCCAACTGACTGGAAGAGATCCATATTTATGCCCATTCCAAAGAAAGGTGATCCCACAGAATATGGAAATTACAGAACAGTATCATTAATATCGCACGCAAGTAAGATCTTACTGAAGATAATTCAGAAGCGTTTGCAGCAGTATATTGATAGAGAACTTCCAGAGGTTCAAGCCAGATTCAGAAGAGGACATGGAACAAGGGATATCATAGCTGTTGTCAGATGGATCTTGGCTCAAGGCAAAGAACACCAGAAAGATGTTTATTTGTGTTTTATTGACTATGCAAAGGCATTTGATTGTGTGGATCATGACAAATTATGGATAACATTGAGAAGAATGGGAATTCCCGAGCACTTGATTGTACTCATGAGGAATCTGTACATTGACCAGGAGGCTGTCGTTCAAACAGAACAAGGGGACACTACATGGTTTAAAATCAAGAAGGGAGTGAGTCAGGGTTGTATCCTTTCTCCACACTTATTCAATCTATATGCTGAGCAAATAATCCCAGAAGCTGGACTGTATGAAGAACAACGTGGTATCAGGATTGGAGGAAGAATCATTAACAACCTGAGATATGCAGACGATACAACTTTGCTTGCTGAAAGTGAGGATGACTTAAGGCACCTACTGATGAAGGTTGAAGAATACAGTCTGCAGTATGGATTACGTCTCAATAGAAACAAAACAAAAATCCTCACAACTGGACCAATGAGCAGCATCACAATAAATGGAGAGAAGATTGAGGTTGTCAAGGAATTCATGTTGCTTGGTTCTACAATCGATGCCAACAGAAGGAGCAGTCAGGACATTAGACGACGTGTAGCATTGGGAAAGTCAACTGCAAAGGAACTGTTTCAAGTGCTGAGGAGCAAGGATATCTCCTTGAGGACTAAGGTGTGCCTGACACAAGCCATGATATTTCCAATTGCCTTGTATGCATGTGAGAGCAGGACAATGAATAAGGAAGACCGAAGAAGAGTTGATACTTTTGAGTTGTGGTGCTGGCGAAGAATGCTGAAAGTACCATGGACTGCTAAAAAACTAACAGATCTGTCCTGGAGGAAGTGCATCCAGAATGCTCCTTGGAAGCAAGAATGGCCAGACTTCATCTTACCTATTTTGGTCATGTTGTAAGGAGGGACCATTCCCTGGAGAAGGATGTCATGCTTGGTAGGGTGGAGGGTTGACGAAAGAGGGGGAGGCCTTCAACGAGGTGGACTGATATGGTGGCTGCAATGATGAGCTCAAGTATAGCAGGGATTTTGGGGTTGGCATGGGATAGGGCAGTGTTTCGTTCTGCTGTGCATGGGGTCGCTATGAGTCATAAACGACTCAACGGCACTTAACAACAACAACAACAACATGACATGACTGTCATGTTAACGAATTACGGTAGTGATTTTGAGGCATATTATAGATTCAAGATCCCCAATTCAATAATCCTTTTCATTATTTTATTTTTTTTCTCAGAATGTTAATTTGGTATGTGTATCCTTTACAAACTATTCTATTTCACATATTAGTGTATTCTTTGATATGCTAATTTAAAGCAAGACAAAGAAAAAAAAAAATCCCAACTTTTATGCTATGTGGTTGTTTTGAAAATAATGCATGTAACCAAAATGTCTAGACGAGTAGAATAAAAAGAAAATGCTAAATTTAAAGTAGCATATTAAAACTGTTTTTACAATTGCTCAAGATTAAAAACTAAAATGAACAGATCAATTTCTTTGAAAGTACTTAACGATCTGATTTAGATGAGGTCATGTCAAGACATATAAACCAAAAAAAATCAAACTCACTGCTGGGGAGTCGGTTCAGATTCATAGAAACCCCTCCTTGTGTTTCCGAAGCAGTATCTCTAAGTAGATTTCCCAACCTTCCTTCAGAGGAGTGGCTGGTGGGTGAACTGCCAGTCTTCTGGTTAGCAGTCAAATGCCTTAGGCACTACGCCACTCGAGCTCCCAAATTTCCCCATAGTGCTTCTTTAATTTAATTTTATTTTTAAATATTCTTAAACTTAGAAAAAAGCTATGAAAATTGTACCTAGAGTTTGTGTATGCACTTTACCCAGTTTTCCCTAATGTTAACATCTTACACATTCATAGTACAATCATCAAAATGAAGAAATTAACATTCATACATTATTATTAGTTTACAAATCATATTTTATTTTTATTACTCTTATTACTAGTTTGCAATTTTTGATCTAAGTTCCAAAGATTCCACATTGTATGTAATTACATTTTCTTTCATGAGATTTTTTTTATTATTCTAGTTAGGACCACTAATATTTTTCCTCAAAAGTTTTTATGAAAATAAAATTAGAATATTTTCTTTAATATATTTTTATTTGCAGTTCTGAATACTATTCTTTATAAGAAATATAGGAAATTATATTCCTTGTTCAAGTCAGCAATAGCTAATTAAAAACAATTACTTTTACTAAAGAGATTTTAAGAGAAATGCAACCATTTAAATTTTTCTTATAAAAAATAAAAATGTATAGCCATATTAATACTGGTGGCTTTATAATAGTACACAAAAAAGGTATCAAGAAATATAATAAAATGTAAACCAGCCACTCCTCGGAAGGAAGATGGGGCAATCTACTTCCGTAGTGATACGGCCTCAGAAACCCAAGGAGGGGTTTGAGTCGGGTCTGACTCAACGCCACATAACAACAGCAACAACAGGTAGTTTTTGGACATATAACTTGCTTTAATCTTTTCTTTGCTTCTAATTGTTTAGATTGAGCTCAAATAGTATACGTTATTTTATCTATTAACTACTTATTCATTACATTCTTTTTAAAATATTTCTCTCCGAATGTAGTTTGTTAACAATATTTTAAGTAAAAAGAAACAATCAATAAAATGACATTTCTATACTTATTTATCATAAAATCTTCAAGGCATGAATTTAGTACCTTTGCCCAACAAATATCATTGGTGTTAGGCCATTTGACAAAGACATCTTTCTCCTGCCCTCTTTCAAATGCAGGGTATGACTTTGTTTCATTTCCAGAAATTGCTGGATCCTAAAATTGAAATTGAAACCACGTAAATATGAAATAAAAACATAGCCACCAGAGTAGCCATCATGAAACATCATGATTTTCCATTATTAAATTTCAGAATACTATACTCTCACATAGACTCACAAATTGCATGAAAATCAATGTTCTAATTAGATTTTTTTCTAGTTTCTTATGGAAGGAAATTCTAAGGACTAATGAAAATACATCAGTTATATCTCACGCAAGCAAGATTCTTAGGGTTGTTACTTTTGCTTTTATTTCTGTGAGGTTTCTTCTTGCCTAACTGGGTTCCTATAAGTTATTGATAAAATAGTGTCTCCATTACAGTACTAATTTGAAGGAAAATTTTAAAACATGGCAAGCATCAGAAGCAATGTCAGAGAACCATGGGAGAATGGTATAGTAGTAAAAACCCACCAGTACTTTGTGATATCATTTATACATTGAGTCTGGTCTTCAGGCAGCTTGAATGATAACTAGAGAACATCTTGCCTTTGATTCACCATCTTTTGTCTTAGATTTCTAAGCATATATCTAAAGTACAAAGACAGCCTGTGGCAGCCCATGTTAAAAGAATGTGTTCAAGGAAAAATAGTTTTAGATTTTGGTGTAGAATATAGAGTTACATAATTTACATTTTAAAATGCCAGTTTTCTCTCATTCTTGGACAGAAATCATAATCAAACCAAAATAAGTAGACAGAAAATATAAAATACAAACACTGACCAGGATAATAATGTATCTCATTCCTTCTCCTCTTATTTTGTCAACAAACGCAGGAAGTTCACGGAATTCATCATCAATTGTGAAATCTAATTGCCTTTCCATGTAATCAATGTCTGTGTATTGAACATCCTGAAATACATAAGAATTGTGGCCGTAGGGTAAGTGCACTCATAAAATAGTGAGCATATCACATCCTAATGTAATTAGGAAAGTAATAGCAATATGAAGCTTGCAATGTCCGTTCACTGATATTAAAGACTTAATCAAGTGAGGCAGAGTTCAAAGAATAAAAGTAGCACATGGAAGATGCAAACAATATGAGAATGAATTCATATAAATGTTCTGTTTGCCAACATTTCTTCTTGTCATTTTGACTTAGAAGTAAGAATTCATCTAAATCAGTCTGTTTTCTTTTTATGTAATATCTAAAGGAAACAAGAAGACAGGAGCAAAATGGTTTATTATCCTATGAAATTATGTTAAATGTCAAGTAATTTTGTGCAGTGTCCTCAGGCATAGGTGTTGCTCTATTTCTGGGAAAAATAAAGCAAGTATGGATAATTGCAAATTATTACTAATGTTGACAAAGGGAAGAAATAATTATTAGTAAATTTATCAATTATTGTTAGCTATTTTCTATATTATCTATCAAAAGTCATACTTGGAATAACAGCTGAAGGTAAAATAAGTAAAGTATTAGTTACAGATAGATATGTAAAATATGTTTAAACTAGCATGTATTTTAATTTTATCATGACATTTTCAATTCAGGCCTAAATTAAAATATATTAATTATTTTCTGTCAATAGACATAGCTCCATTTCTTCCATGCATGTTACAAAAATATGGCTCATACATTGTTGTTGTTTTTGTGTGCTGCTGGGTCCATTCCTACTCATAGCCTCCAACATCACAGAGTAGAATTTCCTCACAGATTTTTCTTGGCTCTAATCCTTATGGAAGTAGGTCTCCAGGTCTTTCTACCTCAGAGCCTTTGAGTGGGTTCAGATCTTTCAGTTAGCAGCCAAGTGCTTAACCATTGTGCCACCAAGGCTCCTTATGTGTGAAATGTTGTTGTTGTTGTTATGTGCCATAGAGTCAGACCCCAACTCATAGCAACTCCTCCTTGGGTTTCTGAAGCAGTATCACTATGGAAGTAGATTGCCCCATCTTCCATCCGAGGAGTGGTTGGTGAGTTTGAACTGCCAGCTTTCTGGTTAGCAGTCAAATGCCTTAGGCACTATGCTACCAGAGCTCCTATATTTGTGAAATAGTGGGCTATAATAATAAGAAACCTTCCTTTTATCATAAATTTCCACTCACATATTTCTATATTATCAAAGTACACAATTACTTCTTCCCGTAATAGTATGTTTAGGAAGTATATGTGAGATTATTATGGAAGAAAAGTTGGGCAATCTACTTCCGTAATGATACTGCCTCGGAAACCCAAGGAGGGGTCGCTATGAGTTGGATCAACTCTAGGGCAGTGAGTTTGGTTTTCAAAGACGTCTTACTTTAAGTACTTCTGATTTTTCTTAGAATGAGTTTATATATACCAAGAATTATAGGCTTCCATATTTAAGTATTAGTGAGAGGTTCTGGAATTCTGTAATCTTGCTAAAAACCAAAATTCAAGGACTGATTGTTCAGGGTGGCGTAGTGCCTAAGGCACTTGACTGCTAACCAGAAGGCTGGCAGTTCAACCCCCCACCAGCCACTCCTTGGGAGGAAGGTTGGGCAATCTACTTCTGTGGTGATACCGCCTCAGAAACCCAAAGAGGGGTGGTTATGAGTTGGATCCAACTTGACAGCAGTGAGTTTGGCTTTTTTGGTTTGTTTGACTGTGGATATTTATGATGAATAATTAGTCTCCTGAACATTGAGGGCAAATGATATTGCAAAATCTTTTTCATTCTGCTTTCTAAGTTTACAACTATCACTGTTGTTGTTGATGTTAGGTAAAATCATCCATTTCATTTCCAATTCCTCCTCTGTAATTTGATTCATCAATTGAAGAAATTGATTTCTGTCAGTCACTCCTCTAACCTAAATATAACATTGATGCAAAATAGAATTATCTGACTCCCTATACAAATATAGTTTATGAGAGGAAAGTAAGTATACAGTGACTTGTTTAGTATTACCCTGATCATGGACCAGGGCAGAAAAAAGAAGTATCATGCCTTCACCAATCTGATAAAAGCATTTTATCATGACCTCTTATCCAATTCATGAGTGGTACTAAGAACAAACCAACATGGATTATTACTCTAAATCAGAAATTCATAAGGCCTTTAACCAAAGCTGAATGATTGAATTTCACTCAGTTCTTGCTGAATTAAACTGTTTCTATGGATCCGCCAGCCTGGAAATCTATTTGTTCAGCTGAAAAGTCAATTTCCCTCTACAAGCTCCTGTTAGCTGGCTGTGTTAATTAGTAAAAGCCATATAACTAAATAGTAATCTGTATAGTCAAGCCAGGATGTAAAGGAAATCCACTCAAAGGAAGAGAATCTTGACACAGGCATCTTTTATATAATATGGGCCAAAGAAATATTTCTGTGTGACAAAGATGTGATAAAGATAAATACTTGTAAGGGTTTGGAGCCAACCGTATCTAAAGTTTCTCAGACTCCTTAAAAGTTTTGTTTAACAAGTTGTGTCAGAGAAATGAGATCCTGACACAAAGAGGAGTTTTTACCTACTTCTGAGATACTGGGTAAAGCTGTGTAAACCTACATCAGTAATGTGTTATGATTCCACCTGAAAACTATTTGAGTAAGAGGCAAAAGTTCCATAATCCTTTTCTGAAATAGATCATTTGATTTTCTCTACCAATTATTTTATATAAGTGTCTTTCCCCCACCGAACCCATCCTCTCTGAGACCTCAACCAATGACTAACCAATCAAAACACTGTATTATAATTTCTTTGTTGCACAGATGCTATCTACCTTTACCTAAAAATTTTAGCTTTCAGCCAGAACTTGCAAGTGGACGTCATCAGTTCTCATCTATATCGGCTGATGCTTTCCTACATCCAGATGTACAATTTCTGAATAAAACTTTTAATTTCATTTTCACAGACTGAGTTTTCTCTCTCTACAAAATTACCAAATACTTAAATAATTTTGAAGTATATAAGTATTAAATTATTCTATTTTGCTTTTATAAATGCTATAATTAACAAAAGGAGCTCTACTGGTGTAGTGGTTAAGGCACTTGGCTGCTAATCAAAAGGTCAGTGGTTCAAATCCATCAGCTGGTCCATAGAAGAAAAATGAGGCAATCTGCTTCCATAAAGAATTACAGCCTTACAAACAACAAATATGAACCCCTTTGTAAATACAATACTGAGTTGTTAATGAAAGCAAA